TACGCTATCAGAGCTCCTTGTTATTGTTACTAGTCCTGTCTTTATTTAAAACTTTGTGCTCAAGGAAGGGTCTTATTTATCTCATTTGCATTACACTAGTCCCAGTCCCAGTTTCCTTCATGTTAAATTCTGTGTTCCAGTAAGAAACTGGGTAAATTTACAACAGTACAATTAACTGATCTTAGTGCTGTTGTTAGGTACCGTGTAGCGTGTTACGACTCACAGCAACCCTATGTACAACACCAGCGAAACACTGCTTAGTCCTGCACCATCCTCAGAATTGTTGCTACACTCGATATCCATTTTCCTAAACTATTCAACAAACAAAAGCATTCTAACATTGAAAAGTCACAGCACTCACATTTTAGTGATGAAAACAGAAACCCGTTATGGGCATAGAAAATTCTACATTCAGCCCGAGTATGCTGTAATATATACTTGCCACACTGAATAATCACATATGCAATTAGAAAACGTTAAACAACTATGTGCTAAGCCTGACTTCTTGTTGTTAGGTGCCATCAAGTCAGTTCTGACTCACAGTGCCTCTATGCACAACAGAACAAAACACTGCTCAATCCTGCACTATCTTCACAATTGTTAGTTTTGAGCCCATAGGTGCTGTCACTGGGTCAATCCGTCTCACTGGAGATTTTTATTTTTTTGCTGACCCTCTACTTTACCAAGGATGATGTCATTCTTCAGGGATTGGTCCCTCCTGACCGCACATCCAAAGAACGAGAGTTGAAGTTCTCACCATTCTGGCTTCTAAGGAGCATGCTTAGTTTTATTTCTTCCAACACATTTTTGTTTGTACTTCTGACAATCATGGTACTTCAATATTCTTCACCAACCCCATAATTCAAACGCATTGATTTTTCTATGGTCTTCCTTATTCATTATCCAACCTTTACATACTTATTGTTAAATGCTGTTGAGTCAGTTCTGACTCATAGTGACCCTGTATAGGGTTTCTGAGGAGCATCTAGTGGGTTTGAACCACCAACCTTGAGGTGAGCAGTCCAGTGCTTATCCTACAGTGCCACACCAGGCCTCATTAAACATAAAAGGCAAATGAAAATACTATGGTTTGGGTCAGGGGCATCTTAGTTCTCAAACTTACATCTGTTTACTCTTTTAACATTTTAAAGAGGTCTTTTACAGATGTGCCTAATGCAATATGTCATTTGTTTTCTTGACCGTTGCTTCTATGAGTATTGAGTGCTGATTGTGAAACCACGTCTGACTTGTTAAGTGCTTTTGAGTAAGTTCCAACTCATATCGACCCTATGTAGGGTTTCCAAGTAGATGCTGCTGGGTTTGAACCACTGACTTTGTGGTTAGCAGTACAGTGCTTATCCTACAGCACCACACCAGGACGCCAAACCTGAGTTAGGCACTCCAATAATAATACAAGGATACTTTTTGTGTGGGATAAAAGGGAAAAAAAAAGGATTTTGAATTCTGACCAAATAAAAATTTTTAACAAAACTCAAGTAGATCTCTTCCAAGATTACTGAAGCTTTGCAACAGGTTTACGGGAATGCTATCCTACATAAAACAATTTTTGGATGGATCAAGAGTTTTCAGAAAGGCTGAGAAGACCTCAACGAGTCAAAAGAGGAAAAGACCATCAACCTCGATGAATGTAGAACCTGTGGCTAAAGGCAAGACACTGGCAGAAAAAGACTGTAGAACTGCCACTGATGCATTAAGCTGGGATCTCACATGATTTGGTTTTTTCAGTTTTAAGTGAACATCTTGGCCTCAGCAAACTTTTTGCTCTATGGGTGCCAAAAATATTGCACAAAGATCAGCTATCTCAGAGAGCTAATCTTTTCATCAGTCTTCTTAAAACAAGATCAAAACTAAGGAAAACAATTTTATAGAACCTACTGTAAACAGGGAGTCTTAGATTTACCAATCTGATCCAGAGAACAAGGTCAAACCTAAACAGTGGCTTCCAAGGGAATTTGGGAGGCCAATTAAATTCAAGGCAGAGAGGCTGGCTCTGAGTTATGGTGACCATATTTTGAGGGACTATATATTAAGGAAAAGAGCTCTGGTAGCATAGTGGTTACGAATCGGGCTGCAGACCTCAGGGTCAGCAGTTCGAAACTACCAGCTGTTCCGCAGGAGAAAGATGATACTCTTAAGGAGCTCTGGTAGCTCAGTGGTCACAAATCGGGCTGCTAACCTCAAGGTCGGCAATTCGAAACTACCAGCTGCTCCAGGGGAGAAAGGTGACTCCTGTAAAGATTTACAGCCTCAGAAACTCTGTACAGGGTCACTATGAGTCGGAACCGACTCTACGGTACTTAACAACAACAACATATTGAGGGTAATCTAGATAGATTTTCTCCAAAGACACAGGACGATCAAAAGGCTTTATTGGAAGAAGTTTTAACAACACTGAAAACCACATTGGTGAGAAAAATGCCAGGAAAGGTGTGCTGAGGAATTTTTTTTTTTTATCACGACTCTATACCCGCTCCTCCTTAAAGCAAGACTTGAGAATTTCATTGGGAAACCTTACCACATCCACCCTACAGTCCTGACCTTGCCCCTGTAGACTTCTTTTTGTTCCCTAAACTTGATATTGGAAACAAATACAATTTGAGTCGCTGAAGGATGTCAGAACTGCTGTTTTAACATGGTGTAAATCGAAGAGTGGAGAATTTTTTGAGGGAAGGGTTAGAGAGACGAAAACACCACCTTCAAAAGTATATAACCTAACTGGAGGATATATCGCGAAACAATAGCTTCACATTTTGATATTTTGTTTAATAAAGGTTTGTATGATTTTTTGTAGCAACACTTTTTTATATATCAGTTTGAAACTACCAGAGGTTCTGCGGGAGAAAGATGAGGCGTTCTGCTCCCGTAAAGTTATACAGCCTCGGAAACCCTGTACAGGGTACCCTCGCTATGAGTTGAAACTGACTTCACGGTACTTAACAACAACATTTATGAGGTACTGGTGAAGTACATTTTTTATTTAATCCTCATAACACTGTCCTTCTTTTGTAGATGAGAAGGCAGAGGCTCATAGAGATTGAGGAGCTTGTACAAGATCATCTAGCTGTATACGTTACAGAATCAGATCTTAACCCAGATCTGTGTGACTAAAAAATCCATTTGCTGTTATTAAGACAATTCAAATTGCACAAAGACTTCATAACAACCTAGAAAACATTTATAAGTGATCAAATAAAAATATAAAACTGTTTATTATCATGGTTGTTGTTAAGTGCTGTGCTGTCAAGTTGATTCCAACTTGGGGTGGCTGGTGGGCTTGCAGTTAGCAGTCCAGTGCTTATCCTATATACCACACCAGGTCTCCATTTGTTATGATTAAAACAATGCAAATATGTTTGCATACTGACAAAGAGTAAAAGAAAATCAGTTGGGCGGTTGCCGTTGATGACTAAAAAAAGCTTATTAATATATAAAGAAAGATATCAATTCAAATTGGAGCAAACAAACCTAAGTTCAAATTTTGTATTTTCTTTATGCAATACGAACAGAGAAGAGCTTCAAAATATTTATGGAAAAATGGAATAAAAAGAGAATGGGATTTTTCTATAAACTTTTTGAAGTTGCCTTGTATTTATGGTATACTTGTTTTAAAATCTGAAGACTTTTAAGAAAAGCATTAGAATGATTAATCTGGTTCTTATATCCCATGAGGTCAATTATTGGGATATCGTTAACAAGACAAACAAAAAAACAATGATAAAACATGACCTATCCAAATGTATACCTGAAACTAAAATTTGAAGTTTATACCTATAATTTAACAAAAGATCACAGCATAAGCACTAAATAAATATAAAAAAGAGTACATAGTTTTATCACCATATGTAGTAACCACAGAATTTACTCCTTATTTTTATGGCTTTCAGCCTGTTTTCTTATTTAAGAATAATACCAAATTCTGACTCACATTCAATAACACATACACTTTGTAGGTGGGAATATAAATTTCAATCGTTTTGAGAGATTCTTAGGTTTGATAAGTGAGAAGAAATAAAACTTGCAGGAATGAGTTATCTAACTTTGGAATATTTTCCAACAAAACAGTAATTTTACTAACTTTTGTATTTATTTAGTTATAATATGCAGTCATTTGCTCTGAGGAACACTCAACTTTAAAAAAAATGCAAAACTGTTTCTTTTTTAAAATCACAAACTAGCAATAATCTTAGAGTAGTTGTTGTTGTTAAGTGCCGTTGAGTCAGTTCTGACCCATAGCGACCCTGTTTCCAAGGAGCAGCGCGTGAGCTTGAACTGCTGACCTTGCAGTTCAAAAGGCTTTACAGTCTGGCACATTAACCCACAGTGCCACACTAGGACTCAAGTGTGAAATTCACTATTTTTCCAATTTCTAAGATGTTGTTGCTGTTAAGTGCTGTCAAGTCGGTTTCAACTCATAGCAAACCTGTATAGGGTTTCTGAGGAGTGGTGGGTGAGCTTGAATCGCTGACCTTGCGATTCAAACCAACCTTGCAGTCTAGTGCATTAACCTGTAGCACCACAACATGACTCCAATTTCTAAGATGGATGGTACCTGGTAAGTATTGTTAATAAGTGCAATTGAGTCGGTTCCAACTTAGTCAATCCAGTATAGGATTTCTGAGCAGTGGCTGGTAAGTTTGAATCACCAAACTTATGGTTCAAGCTGACTTTGAGGCCCTGTGGTTACCCTACAGCGCCACACCAAGATTCCAATGATTGATTACACAGAAAAACCTATAACATTCCTCTTGTTGTTGTTAACTGCCGTTGAGTTGATTCTGACTCATAGTGACCCTGCATAGAGTTTCCGAGGAACTGCTGGTGAGTTTGAACCACTGACCTTACAGTTCAAATTGACCAGTGGTCCAGTGCTTATCCTATAGCACAACAGGACTCCTGGGTTTTGTCAAATTACAACTGATCTTAGAAAGTATATGCATCTTTAAAAAACAAGAAGCATTCTAAAAGAAATCAGTACTTACTTGATAATCATTTCTCTTAATATTTGGAACGTCCATGTTGTGTGTAGAAGGGCAAATGTCTTCATACTTTTTGCCCGTGAAAATATCAATTCCAACAAGGTGAACCTAACAATGAAGGAGAACAGGAAACCTGTTCAGTCTCTGCCAAGCATATCACTCAATACATACAACGTAAGAGTACAATACCAATGCTGAGTATGACAGATTCTTTCTTTCTCCTCCTTTCAAGGTCATCTAATTTTAATTTCTTCTTCTTCTTTTTTTTAAAAAGTAGTAGTCATAGAACTGAGGAGTATGTGACTAAATAGTATCATGACACATCAAGACCCAAAATCACAGAGTCCAGTCATTCAACTGTAACAGTAGATAAGAAAACTGAAGTTAGGTTTCTCAGAATTGTTAGGTCTTCTTATCTGTAAACTGAATAATTGTTGTTTTTAAATGACATTTTATTTTGTCTTTGGTGAAGGTTTACAAAGCAGTTTAGTTTCTCATTCAACAATTTCTACACAAACTGTTGTTCTGTGACATTGGTTACATCCTTCACAATGAGTGAACATTCTCATTATTTCCATTCTGGCTGATCCGTTTACTAAACAGAACCTTTATCTACCTCAATAGGATTCAAGAAAGGTTCAGTTCCCAGTTAATAAAACATCCAAACATGAGAAATACTGCTCCCTTTCAGTATTCATAGTAGTAGCTGATCACCCAGTAATTGCGTTTAGAAAAAAAAAGAGGTTATGACAAATTATAAAAATCTCATCATCTGTAATGAATACAAACGTTAAAATCAAAGACAGACATGGAAGGACACTTACCTTGGCATGACCGTGCTTTCCAGTTTTGGAAGTTGACATCTCCACTATTTTGCATGGTCGCCCTTTGAGCACCACGAAGCCGTTTTTGCGCAGGGCCGAACACTGCATAGGGTAAGTGCTAGAAGCCCCAGCATCTCCAGTAGTGAAATCAATTTCATCCGCCATAGTGGGTTGAAGAGACTGTAGCTTTTCTGAGGGAACTAACGCAAAAAGTTTGCATTTGCATTTTAACAACCGGAGTGCAAGCAGGGAAACATAAAATTTCAGGTAGGTTGCGTGGCCAAGTATCATGAGTCTATACTTTTGAATTTATAGAACACCCTCCAAAGACTAGCGGGCACTTTCTAACTCCGGCCTCTACAAACTTTTCCATCCATGGATGGGGAAAAAAGTCGCTTTAGAGCTCGCTGGGGGTGGGGGAAGCCTCCCGCGGGTAGGAGGTCCGGGCACCCATCGCCCAACCGCAGAAGCAGCCGGCGACCTTCCAGCGCCTTGCGGCCCAGCCCTGCTCCGTCGCCCCGATCGCTCTGCGGGGGGCCCAGCCCAGGCCGCAAGTCTCCAAGAGTGATGGGAGATCATAGGACCCGGCTCCGGATGGCAGCACCTGGCCCTCGGGTAATGTGCGCGCACCCCGCCCTCTGCCCCGCTGCGCCGCCGCCGCCTGGCAGCTCAGGCATCCCCCAGTCCGGTCCGCATCCTTGCCCAACCCGGCCCCGCACGGGCCTGAGTCCCGGCGGGTCCCGCACTCGCCTCCGATCCCTCATCCATCCTTCCGTTTTCCCCTCGGTCAGGGCTCTCTCCAGCCACCTTCCCCGGCTCTGCCTCACTCCGGTCCCAGCCCCACCAGCTTCTCCCCTGTGTCTTCACCTTTCAGCAGGGAAAGAGCGCCTCTCGCTTGCGCACCCGCGCCGGTCCCCTATAGCTACCGCTACGCGGCGGGGGCGGCCGCGGCAGTTCCAAGAGACGGGGCGGGGCCGCCACACTTTCCACACCCCTGCCTGCCCGCCCTTTCCCGCCCCCACCTCACCCCCACTTCCGGGATAGGCCCCAGGCGCGTCACAGGCACCGCCCTCTCGGTCTACCATTGGCTACAAGGTTCACGAGGCCCCGCCCAATCACGTGAAGAGCGCCCTGGCAACCCCACGTGCTGCGGATTAGTGTACTTCCGGCGTGGAAAGCACTTTCAGGAATGTAGTGCTATGAGCGCCAATCTGCCCGCAAGGAATTTGCTCAATCAGAAGCATAGGTTTGTTGAGATCAGGCCCTAGTCGACGTTAACGGGAACCAATGGGGTCCGTGCCATGCGCCAATGGCCACAGCCCTCAGGTGCGTGGTGGTTGTCATGTGACAACTGTCAAAACTCGCGAGGAGCGTGAATTCAGCGGATGCACCGCGTGGTTGTGGAGGGAACTTAGTGTTCAAGTTTTTGGCCCAGGAGTTCGAACCCACGTTTATTCTTCGAAAAAGAGCCCAGATGTAGTATTTTTATTACCTAGCACCATGCTGGCAGACATCAGACATTACGTAAATTCTGGCAGAGAATGTCTCAGTCCCACTGGTGTGGGTGGGAACTCTTGAGTCAAGTTCTATCTAAAAAGCAGTAATGAAATGACCCAACTCCTCACAACACAGGTTATTATGGAGGCGAAGTGTGATCTCAGTTCATTGGTTTCGAAAGGTGTTTTGCCATCTTAGCCCTTCCATGATATTAAGGAGTTCTGATAGTATGTTGTTGTTGTTGTTAAGTGCCGTCGAGTCGGTTCCGACCCATAGCGACCCTGTACAGGGTTTCCGAGTATAGTGGTTACTTATCGGGCTGTGAACCTTAAGGTCAGCCGTTCGAAACTACCAGCTGTTCCGTGAGAGAAAGAGGAGGCTTTCTGCTCCCATAAAGATTTACAGCCTCACAAGATCACTATGATAATGAGTCAGAACCGACTCCATGGCACATAACCATCACCATGACATTGGTGTTCCTTCTAGTTAGGGGCTTGTCCTTTAGCTCATTAGAGTGGTTGGATAGTCTTTCAAATTGACCTAGAGCAGAGATGGGAATAGGATTAAGGACAAAGAAATGCCCAACCCTTTTTTCAGTTCCATTTCAGTTAACCTTTTACCTTGTACTTTGAAAACTACTTCTCTACTCACAGCCCAGTTTTTGTGATCCTTTTAGTTTATATTACTATCTTCCTTTTTCTCACATTGTTCTGTGACTGCAATTTGCATTGTCCAATTTAACACAAGTGAACTGTCATAAACTGAGGTCACTTTCTAGTTAATATATTAAGGAGTCAGATTAGAACCACAGTTCATGAGACCACTCTGCTTTTCCTTATACTACCAAACCTTTTCCTATTATTATTAGAATGACTGCTAATATTTTTAAAGTAATTATTTGAGCAGTATTGTGCTAAATGTTTTATGTGCATCATTCATTTAACCTTGATTGCTACTCTTTTTTAGCCTTGAAATTATAAAGCATGTGGCGCTGTGGGTTAATGCGCCAGACTGCAAAGCCCTTTGGACTGCAAGGTCGGTGGTTCAAACTCACCAGCTGCTTATTGGAAACCCTATGCAGGCTTGCAATGGGTCAGCACTGACTCGATGACACTTCACAACAACAACAACAATTAATGTAAAATTCAATCTTTTTTGGTTCTGTAAGTTTTGAGAAACAGTTCTGTTAACAACCTCTATAAACAAGATATAGAGTATTTCCCACACTCCAGAAGTTTTCTTTGTATCTCTTTGTGGTCAACCCATTCCCCTACCCCCATCCCAGTCCCTGGCAACCATTCACAATTACTCATTTTTAAAATCTCCATTTTTAGTTAAATAAAAAGTCAGAGAAGAGTAACTTGCCAAAAATCACACATCAGCCAAGATAACAATCTAGGCATTTAGACTTTAGAACCACCACTATATATTGCAATCACATATGATTTAAATTTGGAATCAAAAGATCAGGTTTCATTTACTCAATAAATATTTATTTTAACACCTTGGTTCTGGAATTACTATGTTGACAAGACAGCTTCTTGTCCATAATGCACTTGCTGTCTACTCCAGGAGACCAATTAACAATTTTGACAGGTGTGATAAATGCTACTAAAAAAATAATTATAGAGCACTGGAAAAGGGACTTCTCACATAGTCTTGTTGTGTTGCTAAGTGCCTTCGAGTCAGTTCCGACTCACGATTCACAAGGGCCCAGTACAGAGTTTCTGAAGAGCAGCTGCTGGGTGTGATTCGCTGACCTTGTGGTCTGGTGCATTTTCCTTCAGTGCCACACCAGGACTCCATCTAGTCCAGGCATCATTCAATTCAGTTAAAATTAAAATTTAAGCCACATATAATTTAATTTTTTCTTATAGCCACATAAGAATATAAAAAGAAACAGATATGGTTAGCTTCAATAATAATATATTTAGCTCAATATATTAAAAAATATTATTTCACATGTATGTAACCAATAAGAAAACTATTAATAAGATATTATGTACTCTTATCTTCATACGGATAAAGATCAAAGACCACAACCTGTGGTATGGATTGCATCTCAATGTAAAGATAACAAAAATCCTTACCACTGGACTAATAAACAACATTCTTATCAATGGAGAAAAGATTGAAGTTGTCAAGGACTTCATTCTTCTTGGATCAACATAGAAGCAACAGTCCAGAAATCAAATGATGTATTGCATTAGGCAAATCTTCTGCACAAGACCTTTTTAAAGTGTTGAAGAGCAAAGATGTCAGCTTGAGGACTAAGGGGTGCCTGAGCCAAGCCTTGGTATTTTCAATCACCTCATATGCATGCAAAAGCTGAACAGTGAATAAGGAAGACTGTCAAAGAATTGATGCCTTTGAGTTATGGTGTTGGAGAAAAATATTGAAATTGCCATGGGCTGCCAAAACAACCAACAGATTTGTGTTGGAAGAAGTACAGCCAGAGTGTTCCTTGGAGGCCAGGATGGGCAAACTCCGGCTCTCATACTTTGGACATATTGTCAGGAGAGACCAGTCACTGGAGAAGGATATCATGTTTGGTAAGGTGGAGGTCAGAGAATAAGAGGAAGAGCCCCAATGAGATAGACTGGCCATGTGGCAGCATTGATGGACTCAAGCATGGCAACAATTGTGAGATTGGCCCAGGACCGGGCAGTGTTTCGTTCTGTTGTGCATAATGTCGCTATGAGTCGGTACCAACTTGATGGCACCTAACAACAACCATCTTCATCCTAAGCCTTCAAAACCTGGTAGATGCGGGTTTCTTACAGGGTATCTCAATTCAGAAAAACTACATTTCAATTGTACATTAACTGCATGGTGGCTATTATTCTGATCACAGGTCTACAAGGTCTATGAGATTTAGAGACAGATTATCTTGGGTTATGTCATAGATTGAATTTTGTATCCCCCAAACATGTGTCAGCTTGGCTGAGCCATGATTCTAAGTGATTTTGCAGTTATATGAAGACACCCTATGATGTGATCTGATGTGATAAACCAAATAAAAGGATTAAGAAGTTCTTGTGTGATGTAGTAGGTTAAGCCATGGATTACTAACCACAAGGTCACCAGCCACTTCTCAGAAACTATATATAGGGTTGCAATGAGTCAGAATCAACTCAACAGCACTTAACAACAACACACTTAATCCCATCAGGACCCTGATTTTATGTAAGGGAGTTTCCAAGGGTGTGTGGCATGTAACACCTTTTACCTTAGAGAAAAAGAGGGAGAACTGAGCAGAGTAAGGTGGACCTAATACTAACAAGAAAGGAGAGTTGGGTGTAGAATCCATCCTTTGGATCTGGGGTCCCTGCAGTGTGAAACTAGATCCACAGAAAGATTGATGGCAAGACCCATGGGGACTTCCAAGGAATGCTGCTGGGCCTAAGATGCTGAAGGAAGATGAGGACCTTTCTCCAAAACCAGTGCTCTGAATTTGGATCTAGGCCCTGAAACTGAGAAAATAGATTTCTTCGTTAAAGCCATCCACTTGTGGTATTTTTGTTCAAGCAGCACTAGATAACTGAGACAGATTAATGTCTAATTTGAGATCTGGAAGATGAGTTGTTGTTGTTAGGTGCCATTGAGTCGATACTGACTCATAGCGACCTTATGCACAGCAGAACGAAACACTGCTCGATCTTGGGCCAACCTCACTACTGTTGCCACGCTTGAGTCCATCAATGCTGCCACTTGGCCAATCCATCTTGTTGGGGTCTTCCTCTTTTTCTCTGACCCTCCACCTTACCAAACATGATATCCTTCTCCAGTGACTTGTCCCTCCTGACAATATGTCTGAAGTATGAGAGACAAAGTTTGGCCATCTTGGCCTCCAAGGAGCACTCTGGCTGCACGTCTTCCAAAACATATCTACTGGTTCTTTTGGTAGCTCATGGCAATTTCAATATTCTCCTCCAACACCATAACTCAAAGGCATCAATTCTTCGACGGTCTTCCTTATTCACTGTCCAGCTTTTGCATGCATATGA